TAGGAAGGAGTGGGGAGGAAGAGAGAGAGAGAGAGAGAGAGGAGGGTCGATATTAAATAGACGGGGCACGTATCGCGGGATGAAAACGGCGAACGGGAAAGGAGAGTAAACTGGAAAAAAAAGTAGCCGTCAGACTATATCTCTTCTTTTTCCGGCGAGACCGTGTGGAATTTTTATCGAGTGCTTGAGGGAGCTGTTTATTACGCAGGTGTGGGTGAGAAATGGTGTAGCCGCCGAATGAGGTATAAAAGAAAAGTGGAGGATCGTATATAAAACGTCTCGGTGCACGCCGAGCGGAAAAAGAGCTGATTCTTTTTAGAGGAGGTTGGACGCGTACGTATTATTCGCGTACGTTTAATACGTTTCTACGTTTCCCCTACGTTTATCTCGCGAGATAACAAGGGAAGCCTGCCTCAAAAGTGTAATCTTGCACCGCGAGATAGTCCACCATCTATTCAATTTTCGTTCAGAAACGCGTTTCTCATTCCATAAGGCGCGCTTTTCGCCTTTGTACAACTATCCCACCTTTTTTCTTTTTCTTTTTTTTTTTTAAATATTTCACATCGAGCGCTTAAAAGGGAGAAGAAGAGCCACGTTTACTTCCTCTATCGCGAACGGCAAACGAAACGATTGTTGTCAACCTCTCGTCCTTCGTTCGTTTTATTCGCGCGAATAGACAGAAAGTTTGGTGGATAATGCGGCGAAAGGAAAAGAATAGAAACGGGAAGGGGAAGACAATTCAAACGCGGAGCGAGGAAACAAATCTGAAATTTCGTGGAAAACTTGGAAATAGACTGGTACGTACCGCCATTTTCCGTGGAGAGCGCGGACCAAATTTCTGAACGATGTTTGCCGGATGTTCGTTCTTTTTTTTTCTCTCTCTTCCTCCCTCCTTTCTTCGGGCGACGAGAGCACAAAGTTCGACTTGGATCGCGGCAAATTTTTCGAAAGAGGGAGGAAGAAGGAAGGAAGCGACGAAAAGACGATCGAGGGCGGAGTAGACGTCGATTCGAACGATTATGCGAACGAAAGGAACCGGATCTTCGTATCTGGTCGTTGGTCGTTTAACGAGGCTGGAACGATCGCGGGAAGGGAAAGAAAAAAAAAGGAAAACGTAAACGGTCTTCATTGAATATTTAAACGGCCTCTCCTCTTTTTCCTCCTTTCTCCCCCCCCCCTCCCCCCCCCTCCCCCTCCTCCATCCCCGGTGGAACTTTTCCTCGACTCGAGTCGAGACCACAGTTTCCAAGTCGTTTCTCATACGTTTCTCCTTTTTTCCCCGCCACCCGCCCACTCCATTTGCCCCTCTCTCCGTTTCTATCTTATCCCTTCTTTCCCCTTCGAAAAACATCCCCGAGGAACGTCAACTTTTGTCCCGCCGATTACGTAGAGAAAGAAATTGCAACGATAGTACACACGACGCGGTGCACTCTCTCGCCCGTGTGAGTTATGAAACTCCACTTTCGTCCCTCCTCTCCGACCTATCGTTTTGCCTCGTTGAAAAACACAACGATATAAATAATTAGAAATCGGCTAAGGATACGACGAGGTTAACGCGACGAGGACGATATTTTATGGGTTGTTGGCGGCCGCGGGGCAACCCGTTTCTGCTTTATATCCGCGGTCAGAATCCTAAAGTCGTTTCTCCCCGTATATCTTTCCCCGTTGGAAAACATCTCCCGGGATTGTCAGCCGTTTTTCCGCCGTTCGGTAAATAAAACGCGGCGTCGAGCACACCGTTCGACTTGGCCGTTCGTCGAAAAAGGGAGAAAAAGCTCCGAGTTTGACTCGTGTCCTGTCTTAACTACCTCTCTAGTTTCTGGATTAACGTCGTTTTGAAAAAAATGGACGTTTGCGCGCGAAGTTTGAACGAATTTTGCCTGCATTTTCGAATACCAAGGATGATGCTCGTTGCGTTATCGCGCGGCGGCAAAGCAAATTGCTCTAAATAGTTTCTCCTCCTCCTTCTCTTCTTTTTCTCGCGAGTCGAAGTGAAAGTTTGGTAAATATTCACGCCGAACTTGCCCTGCTTTCTTTCCCTCTTTTCTTCTTCCCCTTCTTTCTTTTTCTCCTCTCGAAGAAAAATTCAATCGAGAACTCGATCGTTGGAAATATTCGCTCGAAACGCGAACGATTGTTCAAACCCCCGGGGTTGATCGATGCGGCCCATAATTTTCTTTCGCATAAGGATAACGTTCGGCCGGGAATTCATGAATACTTGGAAGCGGATACCGCGAATGCCAACGGGTAATTTTCATAAATAACTCGCCTCCCCTAACCCCCGAGATATCAAGATCGGATATCTTGCTATATCTCATTTTTTTCTCCCCCTCCCCTTTCTTCAAACTCCACCAATACGCCAGATATCTTCTCTCCACGCCTCGATCCTCTTCCTCCTTCCTGTTTACGATCGCTTTAATAGGGAGTGAAAAAAGTAACGGGGGTGAGAGGGAGAGGGGGACGAAAGTGTCATTTCGCAAAGTAACCGTAAGAGCGGATAGACGGGGATATTTTAATCCCCGTGGCAAGCAAAAAACGACGCGACGCTCCTCTCCGTCACTCTTCTCTCCCTGGAAAATCCAGTCTGGTTCCAGAACTGGAAGAGGGGCAAAAAAGGAACGGGCCAACTTATCTAACTCGAGAGCACGCGGGTTGTTTCTTCTCCCGCGAAGGGATAATTCGCGGCCATTAACGACGGAAAGTGGAAAGAGTGGGAATGAACTTCTCGGGCAGGGTTTAACAATCGTCGGACGTTAAACTGTCGTTAAACGGTAATACGTTTCCCGGGTAGAAAGAGGAGGAAAGAGAGGGTTTCTCTTTCTTTCTTTTCTTTTCCACTCACCTTGCCGAAATTGGACAGACCGCCGATGCGTGCCACTTGACCGGGTTCATCCGCTGTGCTGCATTCTGCCCTAACGAACCAATAGGTCAGTAACTCAATGGCAACGATCCTCGCCATTATCGTCGTACAATGGATCTTTAATCGTATACGTCGGTGTATACACGCGACGCGGCTCGAATTGTTCGTTGGAAGGTTCGATAACGACCGGCGGAGATCGTGTCGTGATCAACGTCTTCGTTCGAATCGATTGAAACGCGCGCCTTTCGTCGAAAATAAACCAGCCGGTGAAATGGTAGCGCGATAAATCTCCGTCAACGAAGGATTAATTACCATCACCAAGACGAATTTGCCGAGAACGATAACGACACACATTCGGTAAACATCTCTGAGCGTTGATAGGATTAGGGATAGCGGATAGTAGAGGTGTGGAACCACCGAGAAGTCCGGCCAATTTCGTCCGGCCCCGATAATCGTGCGTATTAGCTCCATGTTCTCGTAAACGGAACGGATAATGCGACGTTTGTGACGCTAGACGACGCGACGATCGATTCGAATACGTATATCGATGAGTTTGGAGATGAGACGCGTTTATACGGGATTCCGTGCTTGATCGTTCGACCGAGATGATTTTATCGTTATAGCGATGCTGCCTCGATCAACATTTCGTGATTAATCCATTCGACTCGAATTATGCCGTTTCATTCGTATTCCAAACGTTTATATTCGCGTTTATGTACGCGAGGTTTTGTTTCTTTTTTTCTTTTTTTTTTTTTGTTTTCCAACGCGCGAAATCAAACGCGAATACAACACGAATAAAATAAATTTTTATCCGTGAAATATGGCTAATGCGAAATAACGTTTTACGTTAAAACGGATTTAAAACACAAGTAGCGTAGCAAATGGATTAAATGTTTCTATGCAAGGATATTTATTAGGGTGGGCGATGAAATCGAAGTCGTAAAACGCGCGATCGATAGGGGAAATTCCGAAACGCGGATAATATTGTTACGGTTCCATTAATCCGGCCATGATTCATCGTCTCGCCAACGGTTCGGTCGCGTAATCGCGCATAAATAAAGGTCGCCGCTCCCGGCAAAAGCCTCTCCGGTATAAATTTCACGGCCAAAAGATAAAATCGTCGATCATCCCTGTATCTTTTCAACCCCTTTGCCTTCAACCGTGGGTCACCACGAATTATACAGGGTATAGAGTCGCGCGTGTCGCTTCCAAAGTTCGGTCATACGCCGCGCTCATTATTAAAAGTCGGTATGCTACGTACCCGCTTGTTTACCAACCGAGACAATAGAGCGGCTCGATCAAAGTTTTATTCGCGTTAACTTAATCCTTTGTTCCACGATATTACGGAGGCGGAAGGTTTAACGATTATAGGGAATGGAGGATCGAACGAGGAGCTTTTAAACCTTACGTTAAACCGAATCGAGGAGCTTTCCTCGCCGATATTACCCGTTACGAATAATTTACCTTTCCCGCAAAGATTATCGATTCGTAGTTTTTCGATCCTTATTCGGATTTAATCCACCTTTGGCGCGAAAAAACATAAATTCTGACTTTATTTCACACCTGTTACCACAGCGTACTCGCAAAAGGAAATTCGTCCATTGTTTCTTCTCGAATAATATTTCTGTGCATATATATATAGAGCTGCACGTCGGCGGCAGCTGGTCGCACCAATTTCCAGCCCTAACGCAATTTCGAATCTCTCGCATCGCGAACTTGAAATCGAAACAGCCGCCTCGACGTTGGACCCAGTTTCGTCGAAACGGTTCTCCGCGAGTGATATCGCTTCACGCGTGTCCCGAATGCAAATCCTAACGGTTTTCGATTCTACGAGTGAATTTTCCATTCGGAATTCGAGATAATCGACGATCCAACGACAGCCCTATATCTCTCGATATGTCTCGATTGGTAAACTCACCAAGGCGTGTTGCACGTGTGCGTGAGAGTGAGGTATCTGGCGCCCAACTCGTACAACATCCTCAGAACAGCCAGACTCGCTCCAACCGCGTGGCCCCCTTCCACCCCTATCAGGCTCGCTAATCTACCCTCCTTGTGAGCCCTCTCTATACCTGAAACCACACGTTAAATCTTCCTTCAATGCTCTCTCCAATGTTCTCATTATTATCATTATTATTATTATTATTATTATTATCGTTGTTGTTGTAATTGCGCTCGCGTAGAAACCACCATCAAACTTCTCTTATAGCGAATCTTCTCAAGTACCGTTATTCGGCTAATTGTTATATCTTTCCTCGCAATCATTCCCTTCGCAATCCTTACCGGAAATATATGTATAAATTGGTTGGTGGTTGATGGATACGTCCAATGGTGATGCATTCGTTTGATGAATTCGTTATGAAAAATATTAAAGAGTAAGGAAATCAACAAACTGTAAATTAAAAAGTCAAGACTGTGTTTTTACTTATAATCATATATCATTAGTCTAAGAACAATTTATTAATTTCATTTAGATGAAAGAAAGATAGAATTATGGTAGTAGTAGTAGTAGAGATTCGAAGCTAAATAAACATGTTGATCGAATATCTTATTTTTAACGTTAACGCGTAAAAATTCTTCGTACGTTAAAATATGAAAACATACGTAATCCCACTCGGCGTTTTATCATCGTTGTAATTATCGTAACGCTTCTTTGTAAAAATATTACGGAATAAGCACATCTCGTATTCGTTATCTTTATCGTGTAATTAATTAAAATTACTTTCCATCATTTTATCGCAACGCTTCGTTATAAAAATATTACGCGTTAATAACGCATCTTACGTTCTCTTACATTCTACGTGCGATTAATAAACCGCTTGTCGACTTTCGATCGTCGGTTTAATCAAGCATTTCTTTATAAAAAAAGTATCACAACGTTTCATATTTCTTGTCTTTGTACGATTAATTAAAATCACCTGCCAGCTTCGAACGATCGGATCGAATCGTTTTATCGCAGTATTTTTTTCACAAAAATATTACGAAATCCCGCGTCGAATACACCCGTTTCAAATTCGTTTTTATCCTACACACGATTAATTAAAGTCACTCGCCACTTTTAATCATCGATTTCATTGCTCAACACTTTATAAAAATATTACGAAATCTCACATCAAATATAACGTCTAAAATTCGTTACCTTTTACCTCTACGTACGATTAATTAAAGCCACTCGTCGCTTTTAATCGTTGATTTCGTTGCAACACTTTTATAAAAATATCACGAGACCTCGTATTAAACGCATTAAGCACTCTCGTATTATTCCACATACGAATAATTAAAGTCACCTGTCACTTTTTCATTTCAACGTTTTGTAAAAAATATTACACAGTCTCGCATCGAGCGCACGTACCAAATTCGTTACCTTTTACTTTATTATTACGATTAATTAAAAGTCTCTCGTCACTTTTAATCATCGGCTTCGTCGCCAACTTCTTTGTACGAATATTATTATACGAAGCACTTTCGCATTGTTTCACGATCGGCTAAAACCCACTTTTCGATCGTCGTTTTCATCGCAACACAAAAAACATTAGGAAAATCTCATATCAAATCTCGAATTCCTTACCTTTTACTCTATACACAATTAACTAAAGCCACTTTTAATCATTGGCTTCGTTTCGACTAAAAATCACTTTTCATCGCAACACTTTACAAAAAAACATTACCAAATAATTCGTCACCCTTTACTCTCTTACGTACCGATCGATTAGAGCCACTCGTCCCATTTGATCGTCGGTTTCGTTCGCTATTTTGCAAAAATATATCGTGCATCTCATACTCGTTCACCTTTACTCTACTCGTGCGATTAATTAAAGCCACTCGTCACTTTTAATCGTTGGCTTCGATCGACTAGAAACCACTTGTCACTTTTCGATCGTCGTTTTCATTGCAAAAAAACATTAGGAAATCTCGCATCAAATCTCGAATTCCTTACCTTTTATCCTATATATACAATTAATTAAAGCCACTCGTCACTTTTAATATTACGAAGCCTGGTATCAAACGTTTTCATACTGTTCCACGATCCCACTTGTCACTTTTCGATCCATTGTCGTTTCCATTGCCAACACTTCAACATCGCGAAATAATTCCACACCTTTCGCGCCTCCTATTTGATCGCCGATTTCGTTCTCAACGCAAAAGATAGATCGAACGTGTCTCATACTCGTTCACCTTCGCTCTTAATCGCGATTAATTAAAGTCACCTGTCACTTTTGATCGCCGGTCTAATTGAATCGTTTAAATTGGAGACCGCCGGCGGTCCACCGTTATCGGTCGGATCATTAATTACGAGCCTCGTAAACGAGGCTCGATTAATCCCAACGCGAATAGAATAATGGAACGTTGGCCAGTTTCGTGGAACGGTTCGAGAACCGGACACTCTGGGGCAGGATACTTCTTGCGTCGGTATTTAGCGAGCGAGCCGCTGAATTCGATCGGTTTAATCGTTTTAATCGAGTCCGGCCGTGTAAAGGTGGGGGACGATCGAATGGCCTCCGTGAAATCGGATTCGCAGGCTCGGTGTCGTTCGGATTCGATTAAAACACCGCGAACAAATTGCGTTAGGTCGCCGGTTCCGGGATACCGATACACCGCGGATATATAACGCTGGGGGATGGACGAGAGGCAGACAGAGAGAGAGAGAGAGAGAGAATTTTCGCGCCGCTTCAGGCCAACCCCCTGCGGGATGTCCACCCGCCATTTATCGCGCGGAATTCGAACTTTTCCGCTTTCGACCGCACGCGATCCAGCTTTTCCAACCCCGCTAATGGAACCCCGATTCTCTGCGGCTCGACGAATTTACTCGAAAACCTATAATCCCCATGGATTCTATATCCTCTTTCTATATCCTTCTACTCGTACGAATCTTGCGATCGCGTGTATTTATGAAATTTAAATGGCGATGAATTAGGAGAGGCGAAATTATCGTAACAACTTTAGTTTCGTTTCTCTATGTATTTAATCGTCGATAAGAAACAGTGCAAACAGCGATGAAGCTCGATTTATTGGATCCGTTTCTGACTCACGATCTTTGAAAGGGTTCGGAGCGATAATTGGATTGGATCGGGCGAAGAGAGAGAAATCATAAACGGTGGCGGCAACTTCGTCTTCTTGCCTCGTAAATTCCTCCAACTCCCGAGGACGTTTTCAACTATTGTTCCAAAGTGTCCAGCGCGATAGTAGTGGGTTTGCCACGTCGAAAGTTTGCAGACCCGGGGCAACAACCGGCTCGGATAAACACACGGACTTCCCCGTACCTTGTTTCCTCGAATCGTACGATCCGATAGACGAGGCGACGTCGATGAGTCGTAGATAAGAAAACAACGCGGCTCGTGTCACCTTCGCGCGCGTTTAAATTTTCCACGAGATCAGTCTCGTGTCTGGCTTCCTTCGAGTAACTAACGCGCGTTTCGCGATCAACCTTACTCAACTGTAACATTTTGCGTCACGGTGATAATTCGACGATTCAACTCCACTTTTCGACGAGACGAGTTCCGCGACGAATTCTCGACTAACTGTAAGTAAATCGTTTACGAGAATCTTAGGATTTCGTTGTTTTATATATATATAAAATGTACATATGATAAGCGGGGAGTGGAAACCATAGTTGAAATTCCGTCGATATCACGGCATAAACGCGTCCCATGAATCATTGGGATAACGCAGAGATACGTTTTCGCAGAAAGCAAGTTGCAAATTTCGAACAATCGTTCCTTTATACGGCTCGCGTATATACGCGACGGGTATCGCGTGTCTATTTACATATGCATGCCGACATGAAGCCGTGCCACCAACGTGTGGTTCGGCTTATCGAACGGTCGGTGTGCCTTGACATTTTTCCATTTCACTTGAAATTTACAACCGGCTGTATCTTACGATATTTTCTCATCGGATCCGCCTTTTTTCGGGATTATCGTTTAAGACGAACGCCTTGTGTGAAATCTTGGTATCGGTTGAGATCGAATCGATTTTCGTAAAATTCTCTCTTTGAAAATTTCCTCCCCTCCTTCTCTCGTCCCTCCTTCAAAAGTATCGAGTCGACTTTTTCTCGTTCCTCTTCGATTCTTAACTCTCTCTCTCTCTCTTTCTCTCTCTCTTATTCGTTGGTGACAGACGGGCGTGGATTAAAGGCTTGAAATCGAAGAAGACGTATCAAACACTCGCGGTCTTCCTGACTTTCGATTCACGCCCATCCAACTATTCCTCTCCGAACGAAGGGAAGAATCTTCTCTCGAACTCGTTAGACCGATTACGTGACGGGGAGGGACGATATCTTTTTCTCGCAAAATGCATCCTAAATTCTCGAGAAGCGTATTCACGGCGGCGATAATAACGGGGAGGGAGCTGGGCCGAGATTTCCACCACGGGGATTCCCCCGTTGGCACCGGTCCAACAGAAAATCTCGTAGCCGGAAGCAAACGCAAGAAGGCCAGTTGTTGGAACGAGTTGGCCGATCTCGATCGAACCTTGCGCGCGTAAATTTCCACTTTCGCCGAGATTCGAGGATTGTTTTCCAACCCACGTAGATGGGACGAGTAACCTCTCGCTCGAGGCGAGTTCATTTATTATCCGTCTCGCGACCCGGTTGATCGTCGAACGCGAATTAATTAAAACGAAAGTGGAAAAGGCGCGGAAGATTCGCTCCACCAAGATTTCCATCCCATGGATGGAGAGGTCTGGGAATTCTTTTCGAGGGTGTCTGCCAACCAACCCCTGACATTGGCCGAACGCCAGAAATTCTGCCGGTGTGTAACGTCGAACGGCCCATTCTCGGAACAAATAGCGGATGGTAATTCCCGACGTTCGTCGACCTCGAGCCTCGATTTCATATTCTTCGCGTGTGAACCAAGAAGAAGAGACTCCTCCCAGAGATCCCGAAGATCGACGACTTTCGAATACGATGGCCTCCCCCTCGCGAGAGAACGCTGACTAAGAACGTGCACCACTTACGTCCATCTATATCTTCTCCCTCTAAACTTGGCGAAAGACGTTCTCAAAGAGAGAGGGAGAGGGAGAGGGAAGAGAGAGAGAGAGAGAGAGAGAGTCTTTCGAAAGACGAACTCAGTGTATATTTACGTTATACCAGATCCGATTGGCAATTAATAATTCCGTGTTTAACTTGGGAACCAGTTTGGCGATTCTATTAAAGAGTAACGATACTCTCGAAGGGAGGAAGGAATCGCGTGTTGTTCGATCCGCGCCGTATTTCCGTTTACTTTGGCCGACGATTTAACGCGAGCTTTGAACCCCGGTTATCTAATAGCCCCGAACAGGGGTGTGTAACGAGTGGTTTGCATGTACGCGGAAAATTTGTTCAACAAACAAATACGAATCGATATACCCGCCATGTCTCGGTAATCGTCACACGAGAGTTCCGCTTCGTTTGCTTTTTTCTTTTTCTCTCTTTTTTCCAGGAGGATAGATAGGGAGAGGGAGGAAAGAAAAGAGAAGAAAAAGAGAAAATAGGTCGCGATGGGAATTGTTTGACGGGAGGGGTGAGCGAGTCGATAACAATTCGCCCGGAGGGAGAAATCGAATCGGTTTGGCCCGATGCCAGCCGAGTGGAGCGCGCGCTATTGAAAATTTATCTTCGCATAATGTGTAACTGGATAATCCTTTTACTCTCATTTTCTCACCTTTGACCGCGCGTTATATAGGCCGCGTGGAAAAAAAAAAAAGAAACGACGAGGCGGTTGGCAACGTCGACCGACTCTCGATCGACTCTTCGTCCCCCTCTTCGCTTTTCTTTTCTTTTCTTTTTTCCCTCTCTCTCTCTACAAAACGAAACTGTCGCGTGTAAACGTACCACGAGGTATCGACATTGTATTTTTTTGAAACGGTGGTTCCCGTTACAAAGGAGTGGAATCGCAAGCGAAAATGCCTCACCTTCCGCCGTGGTAACGAGGACCATGCTTTCAGGATGCTTGTTGACCAGCCGACGAATCAGGTCGATCTGCTCGAGTGCCAGTTGGACCGAGTCGAGGTGCTGGGAGGAACAGGGGACGTAAGCTGACCAAAACTGCAACAAGGAACGAGTCGAGGTGAGCGTGCATTTCTTATTCTTTCCTTTTTTTCTTCTTCTTCTTTATTTTTGTTTGTTAAATACGCTTGATCGCGATACGATCTTGTTTTCGTATGGAAAAGTTGCCGTTCTCGTTTCGATCGAGTCGATTCGTCGCGATTAATCGTGCGAATTGGAGTTTTCGACGACGGGGAAAGTAATTTCTCGTTTCGTTTCGTTATCGGATAAAAACTTTGAAAATAATTAAAAGGGGTATTACGAAACCGTGGTAGGAGGTCGCTTTGAATTTTAAATACGGGGATATCGGGAGCCATAAATAAGAGAGTATTTATCCTACCGGCTCGCAATGTATATAACACCGGTTAAGAATACATTCCACTTGGAGTGAATTAAACCGATGTATCAGATCCCGAGGATTAAACGCGATATTTCATTCGAGTCGATAAGGGGGCGAACGTGAGCTCGCATAAAAACTACTTTTGTACGCCGCTCGATCGTTGTTACGTCGTCAAACGGGACCGAGTCGTGCTCGATAATATCCTTAGATTACTAGATTCTTCGCAACTGGAAACTCTTTCATTTCTCTCGATCTCTCTTTTTCTCTCTCTCGGGCGATTAGATAGAACCCTGTTTTGTGAAAATTTCCTTTACAAAACCGGCGAAATCTCAGAAATTGTTCGATTCGAATTGGCTAAATTTTTACCAAATTCCTTTTTTTTCTGTTATTTTAAACGTCATCGCGCCGTGTTTTCATCTAAAATAAAAAACGCGTGCGTACGCTAAGCGGCAGACAAGTTTCGTGTTTTAACTAGATGAAACTCGCGTTCGAAGCGTGACGCTTCGTAAATCAACGGGTGACACGCCTTGCCAACCCCTTGTTTCCCTCCCTTCCTCCTTTATCCTTCTTTCTTTCTTTCTCTTCTTCCAAACGATTTTAACGCGACTTCTGCGACTTCGTTACCCGTCCAGAAGGGATTTTTACAATTTTTCTCTTTCGCGTTGTCACGAGTTACATAAACACCGCCCTCCTCCGAGCTAATTGCGAAACGGCAATAATTTAAATCGCAAGAGATTTATATACGGTTTGAGCGCTGGGTCGAGGGCGAGAGCGATTTTTCTTTCTTCCGTGAAACGAAACCGCAAACTTTTTGATTTCTCGTTAATGCAATTAATTCCAACGGCCTGTTATCAAACAATTTCACCCTCGAGAGAATTTATTCTTAATTAACGACTCTCGCCAAGCCATCGGTTCGAAAGAAAGGAAGAGAAAGAGAAGGAAAGAGAAAAATGAAATTGCATCTCGAAACACAACCACGCGTATACCCCGTGTTTTATACTCGAACGCGGCTTTTTTGATCGTGTTCCGCGATAGCGAATCGAGCGACGATTAAACGCACGAACCGTTTGCTTGAAAAAAACTTTGTTCCGATGTCTCGTTAGCATCCGGCTCGCCTCGAATTTTAGGTCAGATATTTTTATATAAAATCGTGTGTTCGTTCGCTTTTTCTTCTTCCCCTCCTCCAAACGTTGACGTTTCGCGCAAAATCGAGACAGGGTTAGTTTTTTTCAGGTCAGACGTTCCGTAAAAATATTCACTCCCCCCCTATTCCCTCGTCCACGATCGTATAATCGGCCGGTGTCGTCCCACTTTAACACGTTCGTCGGTGATTTCACGTTTCTCACGGGGCCCAAATGTTACTGTCGTAAGAGCTTAAACAGAGCGATAAACGGAAGTAGTTTTAATATTTTTACTTCACATATTTTAATATAAAATTTAGCAACGATATATTTATATATATTAATTCTTATTAACCAATTCTCTAATACCGATTCCGAATTAATTGTTGCCTCTACTTCTACTTCTTCGTTCCCTACTTCGTTTCCAAAGTCAATTTTCGTAAGTATTTTGATCCGAATATAAACCTCTAATTGTTCGCGCCCGTGACACGGCGGCCCTTTCACGAAATTGAACATCGTACGTATAACATCCGCGTGTAACATTCTCTCGAGCGAACGTGGGATGAAACGTTCTCGAGGGATCACCGTTGCCCTTCGAACCTCCCACCCTCCCTCCCTCTCTCTCTCTCCTTTTTTCTCCCTCCCATGTTTGCGCGTCGATTCTCCTCCTTCCCCCCCCCTCCCCGCTTTTTAGAATCCGCTTTATCGAATTACTCGCAGGAACGTGTATCGGCGGTATCTCGAGCTTTCCGTTCGATACACGCATTCTTCTCGCTATCGGACATCGTTGGGTTAAACCCAATTCCCCCGAACGTTTTGAATGGAGCACGACTCGAGTTATTTCGAATCGGTTGGAATTCACTTTTGGAATGCGGCAGGAATCGCGACCGATTGCTCGGGGGGGGGGGGATACCTACCTCCCGGGTGCAATCGGAAACGCTTGTACAGATTTTCGCTCGAGAATTCCTCCTCTCCATTCCCTATAACTTCTCCGTTCGGAAAATCATCGTTCCCTCTATAAATAAATGTATTTCGAATTACACGTAGTAGCGCGCGGCGCGTTCGAGATCGCTCGTTTCGTTACGTAAACAAGATTACGCCCTTACGGTATTTCCGGGATGGGAGGGCGATCAATGCCTCGTAACCTTTCCGCGGCGGATGCCTTCCCTCTCGGTCTGAATTAACCGAGACAGTGATGGATCGAGTCGAGACTGGCTCGCCAGATATATCCTGTGTACAACGGCCGCCCTATGTATATTATGCATACGCTCGTTTCGGTGGGCATAACCGGCCACCCGGCCCCTTTCCTCTCCAGCAGTAAGCAAGCAAACTGAATACCTTCGGGGGAGGAGCGTTTGAGAAACGATCTAAATAAAATTAGAAATAGTTTTGTCGCCTATCCTCATCTCCTCCGAGCGAATAATGCCGTTGATGTTCCACGTAACGCCACCACCTCGTACTTCTCCCTAAATTTCTCCTCGTTCTTCGAGCTTGTTTATCCCGTTTCTCCCACCGCTTCTCCTTCTCTCCCCCTCCCCGCAATTCGTCGTCGTGGCAATTCATAATCATAACCCTCGGTGTTATTCGCGTAATTAGTATTCCCTTAGTGATCGCGCTATTAATTAAATTGGACCGCGCTCGTCGTCGTCGCGTGCGTGTGCAAGAAGCTTATTTGAATTTTCCCCTCTTAACGCGCCCCGTCACACCTCTCGCGTTACGTAACACCAGAGGAGAGAAAGTAATGGAGTGATCTTCCATGGAGTGATGGGGAGAGCCTCGCTTCAACTCTCGCGCCAACCACCCGCCGCCTTCCTTCCTTCTTTATCATCCGTTATGCCCCCGTAATCGCGCCTTCCAGACGAGCTTCTAATAGATAGAATCGGCGGGGGGGGGGGGAAGGGGCTATCTCGGTAACGAGCAATCGGGGCCAAGGAGGAATTCTCCTCTCCTATCCTTGCTTCTTTTTTCCATTTCCGACTTCTTAAAGTTAAACCCCCCTTTCGGATAAAGGGGAATTTCGAGGAGGGCCACCCTACTCCACAACCTTTTTTACGATCCTTTCGTCGATGGATTTCGAATTTTGCCTCGATTTTGATTCGACGCGTTACTTACTTATGGTAAAACCACGTCACGTTCTCAGAAGAATTTAACCCTTTCGCTGTCGGAGTTATTTGCGCGTCGAGTAGCTTTCTCTGGAGCATATTTTGTTTTTATCATCGATATTTTTTCCCAATAAATACAAATCAAAACAATGTGTGAATTACGCGCGACGATCTTTCTCGTGCACATTTTTTGATGCGCCGGCAAAGTCACTCGCAACGAAAGGTTAAATATCTCTCTTCGGGAGGAGGGAGTCGCGACATTCGTTCGACACCGAGGATCTTAACTTGGAACGAAAGAGATGGCATGAAATTCGTGCGAAACGACATCTGCCCGGATCACTCGAGGCCGTGTCAAAAATATACATACATATATATATATATTTATTTTGCGTCCAGACTCTGGTCGAGGTCGCGGGAGCAGAGGCGATACGAAATTCATCGCGAAAGCAATTTCACAGGTAGCCAGTTTCATTACGTAACGCGCATGGCGATTCGTTTAGAAAGGGCGTGTCGAGGGACCGACTACTGTTACCACCGCTCGTCGCCCGGCTTTTATACACGCACGCAAACCAGTGAAATTATAATCTACTTTCGTAATATTACTTAGACGCGTGCTTCTTTCGACTGGCGTGCTCTCCGCCGCGACGGAGCAAATGACGTTTTCGTTTCGACTTGTCGAGTAAAAATTCCCCTTTCTTCCTTTCTAATCGAGGAATCTCGTTAAGGAAATTACGATTAAAAGATCGCGCAAGATTATTGCAAGGATCGATTTTACGTAATTCGTTGGTATTAAGTTGACGGTAGAGAGCGTAGATTAGAAATCGAAAATCGATATCGGTAGGTTTGAGCTGCATATTCTCTCTGTTCGAGAAGGGATAAGAAGGAGATAAATTGTGATGAAGGGAAATGTTAATCCCGATAATGAGTTCGGTCGAGTTTCGGTGTAAAATTGTCGGATTAAGCTTCCCTATACTTTGGAACAGAATCGGAAGGAAGGAATCGGTTATCGCCGGATTCGCAGATCCCTCGTTCTCGCGAGAAACTTGTAACAATCACAATTTTCCACCGCAATCTTCTCCCGCCATCGTTTAACGTAATGTCATCGTCGAGGCTACGGAAAAAGGGTGGCCGATTTTCTATTTTCCACGAAATAGTCTTTTCTCTTCCATTTTCGAGTCGCGCCCTCCTCCATCTCCTCGTTCGAGAACGATTCCGATCGATCATTTTCCAAACGAGTCGAGGGAGAGCTCGAAGAAAAAAAGATTCGTTCGATCGGAGAATCGAAAATAGGTGTTTCTCGAGTGGCCCGTTTGGCTCGTTTGATCCAGTGATCCTTCTTCAGAAACGTGGATTCGTTCCTTCGAACGGATAAAGTCGAGAGAAAATTACCAAAGTCCAGCCACTTCGTTATTCGGCTAATAGATTCGAATTTTTACCTTCTCGTTTGCCAGATAATCGCGACAACGATCGACCAATGATGTCAAAGATGAAAGGGACATTGTACGTTTCGATCAATTGATCGTACGGGACGAGAAGTAATTGAAACATCGCGAAGGGTCGAAACACGCGATTCGCGCGTTTGCGGCTGTTTACGTTGGTCAGGAGATTTTCCATCGTTCGCGCGCTAATTTCTTCTCGACCGGGGAATCGCTCTCTCGATTCGACTAATTGGCAATCCGAGGGATTGTACGAGGAACGAAGAGGAAGAAGATCGTTTCTCGAGAGCTATTGGAACGCGTATTGTCGTCCGATTTCGTCGCGTCCGCGTCATTCCACCGATTCGAGGGAGGAGGGAAGGAAAGAGGGTGGGTAGAGCTCGTAATTTTCGTCCGGCTATAAATCGCGAGGGAAAAAGACACTTTCGAGAAAAGTGTTTCGAATGGGACGATGCACCGGCTCTTTCACCAACCTCTTTCTCCTCCTCCTCCTCGTTGAAAAAGAGAGAGGAGAATATTTTGGCCGATTGCTCGCGAAGAAGAGTACCGATGCTTCGCAACGAGTAATTGGACGCCACGTCGAGGAAATTTATATATATCGTCCGTTTTGTCGGTCTTGGCTCCCCACTTCCCACCGGATTAATGTTTCGTTGCGGTTATCATCGCCCTCACCTGCGCTGCAACCATCCCCTCCTTCAATCTTCTCAGATCCGTGTGGCTCCACGCGCTCCGGGACCAGGGATGGGTATCCCTCAGGTCATCAAACCTGAACTCCCTCAGCTGATTCTTCAAGAACTTGCGTATGTTCCACGGTAAATCGTTGTGCCTGGAACAAACGGATGGAATGAAAATCCTCGTGTCTTTCTTTCTTTAAATTATCTCATCTTCAAACTTAACAATTACTTTCGATATCTGCCCCTTTCCATTCGACACACGGTTATACAGAGGCTCGTGCCCCTTCTCCCCTCTCAGAGTTTCATCGAGTGCGACGCGACACCGTGAAATGGCCCTGTGTACACGAGAACGCATCGTGCTCGAGGGATAGATGTGTAGGGTGAGGGGAAAGACGTAGGAGTAAAGTTTGCCCCTTACAATGGCATTAGCCGGCGTACAAGTTTCGCGACAAGGTTCGGTTACTTCGCTCGGCCCGCCCTAACTTATTTCATCCTTCCAATCCTTGATTTCTTTCGTCCCCACGGAGGGCGGCTGCTCAAATATTGGTGGTCCGCCGCCCGTTTCCTCAACATTGTTAGCCCGACCAACGGGGATAGAAACTCTAAGAAGAAAACTCTGAACGCTCTCCCTCCTTTCTTCCGTGTTTGCCCACGCCCGTCGTTCAAATTCTTGAACGGTATAAATATTAGTGTATCTATGGATGCTTCCACCATGTGTACGTGTACGTACAGGTGCGCGAATAAATTTTTTTTTACGATTCTTACTCGATCGAATTCGTCCTCCTTGGGTTTTTAACCCAAAAAATGCGTACTCGAGAAAAATCGTCAGCAGCCGCGTTTATTTGACGGTGTTTATTGGAAGAAAAATATTGACGATAAAAAGAAAATATCGAGAAAGATATGCTCGACGTTCTCGATAACTCAAATCGCTCGTCGAAATCGAAAGTAGCGAAAGAGTTAAAGAAGAGTCGTGGCGAGCGCTCCAAGAGTTTCCCGCGCGAGAAGCGTTCCGTTCATTCCAGTTTAGGAAATCAGCTAGTGAAGCTACTGGGAAATGCGCCACTGGGAGGGAACGTGGAAAAAGATCGGTATCAAAGATTTAAACTTGGAAATTTTAATTTGGACCCAGAAGAATCGGCGGAAAGATTGGGAAATGGAAGGAAAGAAGTTAGAGCGAGAGAAAGGCTATCCCAATATCGCGCGACACGCGTAGAGACGCGTAGAGATATATACGATACGAACGGATGATATCCTAAGAAACTTTGCGTCTTGGAATTATAGCAGTTAGCCGACATCCAACTTGCTTTTAGTTCGTCCCTCCCTCTCTGCGGTATTCTTGTTCCGTGTTAATTCACTCGGTCGGACTTTGCCGTGCGTAACACGGCTATCGGGTTTCCAGTTACAATCAATGTTACACCGGTTACGATCCTCCTCCCCCTCGATCTCGAGACGCCGCTTAAGCTTAGATTTGCCGCGTTATCTTCGCCAATTTAGCACCGGGGCAAAGGTACGTTTAAACGCTGACAGCCCGGTGCTGTGCTTTAAGCTTTAATTAAACCAACTACTAACGATAGGGAAAAGGTGGGGAGAAGTAAACAAGAAACTTTTCGAACGAAACGAGAGGAGGGCGGAAAAAAGGAAAGAAATATAGAGAGTCGCAGCGAACGACACGGGAGGTTAATCCGTGAAACGAGTGTAATTAAGCGGGTAGAGAGAGGATGGCAGAGGTTCGAGACGCATTTCGGATTCTCTCACGCCGGCGAGGCAGCCGCCATGTTCCACCGGTTAAGCTCGGCCGGCTTATAATTCCGAGCACGCGTCTCATTCCCCGCTTCGGATGACTCGTCGCATTAATCGAAGAAGCTTTAACAAACGGGCGAAACAATTTGAATATAATCGGACGGGTGATGACGCGCGAGGCAAGAATCTCCGTCGTGCAACGATTAACCACGCCACGCCAACTTGCATTTCTTCCCAGCGTAATTATTGTTCGAGGAAACGACAACGCTTCGTCCAAGTTTTCGCCCTCCCTCCTTCGACTACGCGTGTCACGATGAGGGAAGTTTAAACGACGCGCGACAATCCTCGACGACTTTCCGTTTCCCTTCTTTTTCCTAATCCGCACACGAACAGTAGACGCGCGATCGATTCTGAGATGGCGTTATATATATATATATATATCCGGAATATCTCGTTTTAAAAACGGGATAATCGTTTCGAGACGGGAAATTTTAAAGTTTATAAGCTCGATTATAAAAACTTGTTCGAGGAATTATTCTGTTTCAATTGTCGTTAAAAAAAGAAAAGGGAGAAAAACGGCGGATTTAAATATATTTACGTTGTTTTTTTTCATCTGCACGGATAAACGTTCCCCGTTAAACGTACGTTTGCCATTTAAATATTTGCAGACACTTGCGCGATGAGTTTCACGGGATACACGCTATGCCGCCGTGTGTACATATTTCCCAAGAGCGTACCGTATACGTGTCGATCTCCCTCGATTCCCTGAATTCTTTACGCGTTTTCGTCGCGCCTGCAATTATCAAAATCGTGGGAAGAAAACGCGTTCCATGTATGCATATATTTTTGACGAATCGATCGACGGGGAGGGCGATACGGGACGTGATCGGCGCACAAAGGAATTTCGACGCGTGACAGAAGGAGGAGAGAATGGAGGGCGCATACGTATGGAACTTGGTAGCGTGTGCGTATTGTTGCGCCAACAAATCTGACCTGAATCGGAGATAGATCTCTCCGACCGTTTGCCGTGAACCGCATCGAGCACTTTGCGAGAGGAATTTAACTTGGAACGGAATTGGGTAATCAAACGAGCACCTCGTCTTCCATCCATCCCCCTCTCTCACCACCCATTCGCTCAACGATACGATAATTTACGAAAGTTTATAAGGATCGAAACTTGCCTCGCGAGCAATCGATCCAAGCGTCGACACTCGTCTACTATAAACTGCTGGGAAGCAGCTATCTACGATTACAATAAAGATAAACTCTTGATAACGAACCAGTTTATCGGTTCCTCAAATTTTATCGTCGTTCCGGCACCAGTTATTATTACATCCGGTTAACGAACGACGCGATATTAGATTCTCCATTTGTATTCCGTGCGAGAGAATCGAAACAAAACGATCCCTCGAAATTATCGTTCGATCCTTCCTATTTACCGCCACCCTGTTTTCCTCTCCGCCCGTTTCGAACGACGATTGGATCTCGAGCGGCCGGATCACGACCCTCCACGCCGAGGATTCTCTCGATTCCGCTTTGAATCTTTGAGCCTTGGAGACGATATCCGTTGCCGTGATTGCTCTCCAATCTTGGCAATCAAACACCAGAGGAAACAACGTTTCGATCAATGCGGAATAATTAGGATCGTTTCACGCTGTCGTGACCGCGTACGCGAATCGAGCGTGTACCCTTATCATGCTTGATAACCTGTCTCCGAAATAGTCTCTGAAATTGTTAAACGGAGAATTGGTAAATGGATCGTTTTCGAAGGACGATCGATGGACGTGGCAGGGAATTAGGCAGGAAATTTTAGGGGTAGAAAAGTGGGAAATCGATCGATAAATAGGAAAGTTTAACTCCCCGTTTCAAATTTGTTCTTTGTTTTTTTTTTTTTTTTTTTTTTTTTATTCCCTGCGAAATGTCAATTAATTAACCAGCGAAACGGTGGCGAGATTGTTTGCGGAAGCAGTTTCGACTCGCAAACGTAACGTTCGGAAAATTTTCAATCGAAAAGCCTCGGCCTTTTCCCCGCGGTTATCATTTATTGTTGCATCGCCGCGGTCGATGAAAGGACGGGCAAAATTTTCAATTTTTAATCGACCGTGTTGCGCTCGTACCGAGGGTAACGACCTAAGGGAGGGACGGAAGAGAGAGATTGGCCCCGATTTTTCCTTGCCCGTTTAACGAATCTCGAGGCCTCCTGTAAAAAATTATCCTTTGAAAACGATGATCGTTAACCGTCCAGGTATAATCGAGGATCCAGGAAAACGTTGGCCGACGGCCAGCCTCGTGTTTGCACTCGTCGATAACAGGATGTCGTGAAAATTCCCTCGCTTATTGGTCCTAGTCGATCGAATTATTCTCCCTCCCCCTCTTTTTTTCCCCTTCTTTTTTCTCATCGCGGATCGCTCGTGAATCCCAAATCGCCAAAGTGAGAAAAATAAAAATCCTCGATTTTTCTATCGCCACGATTACGCCTAAAAATTGCGAATTCCTTCGCCGATCTTCGTCAATGTCGGCCGGACGAAAATTGGATGCGACGACCGATTTCGAAGCGTCTTTTTTCGGCATAATTGCCCCAATTACGTCGTCCGTGAACAAAGTGCGTCTCGAGAGAGATAACCAACCGCTATTTTCTCTCTCTCTCTCTCTTCGATCCGCTCGAGGCTGGAACTGGAAGACTTCCGGTTACATAGCGAATCGGCCGCGGTTACCCCCCTGGGCATTCCTCCACTTTTCGAGGGTTTTCGCATTAACCCCTTCATGCATATTCAACGTGGATGCAACGTGTGTCTAAGAGCCGAATGATATCTATGACTTGGCGAAATTGCAGTTGAATTTTCGTCGTTTGCCGAAAGGGGCGAAGTCGAACGGAGTGGAGAGAGAAAGATATATGTGTGTGTGTGTGTGTAGAGACGCGTAACAAGAGAATGGGAGAAGATACGTTCTCATCGGAGAGGGTTAATTGGCGAAGCGCGATAAGGTGGTTGGCCTCGATGCGCATACGAATGGTGAATATTCCTGGCGGCAAAATACGACTTCCGGATCCCAATCCGGAGCGGTTCGACCCTTCCTCCGTCGGCGGAAACGCAAATTTTGCGGTGATTTCGATCCTGGTTGCGATCGAGGTCTGTTTCCCCGAAGCCTCGTTAAAAAAAGCGCGGAGGAATTTTAGAATCGAAAAATGGGTAAAACGCTCGACTTTACGGCAATCCGCAGGGACACGAGTTTTCTTTTCCACGTTTGTTCCGCGATTAACCGCAGCAGATTAACCCATTCCGCTCTCCTGCTCGGCCAATCATAAAATCTAATCCGGTATAAAATTCCACGGCTAAACTTTCTTACCGCCGCCTCTTCACGAACGCTTCCTCCAGATTTTCGCCAGACGACCCACCAAACCTTCTCTCCAAGC